TTATCTCCCCACCTGGTCATAAATAACAAATACCACCCCGTAACACCTCGTCTGATTCACGCATTACATCATAACATATATCAAAGTCTACATTATCACCTTATCGGTGGTAATAACCATAAGCCGGTTATTTTCACCTCCTGTAGTCTTGTATAGATATGGCCAAGACATCACAGGTGGGCGAGTAAACTACAGGTTAATCACAGGTAACTTAACAGGTATATAACTGCTGCTTTAGACTCTCTGTTTATCCGCCTTAGTTTATTTCACCTGATTAATTATTTTTGTAGTTATGTATTTCTGTCTGGTTGTAGTGAAGGTCAGGTTCAGGGCTAAACAAAGGTGATATAACAAAGGTACTCAATATCCAACCAGGAGCCAACTCGTATATCAAGGAGATTCATCTTTCCAGTGAGTGACAGACAGACGACCCCATAAGGAACACGTATTTGTTTATTCCCCGCATATATATATACAGGTACTAAATATGTATCATACTACGACATCTGCATACACAGGTAGTCAAGGGCGAGTACCTGGGCCACACCTGGTGATGAATACCAAAACATACCTGTGTTAGTTAATTACTATACTTAGAACAGGTAAGGTTAGGTGAGGCGAGTTGTTATACGGAGTTAATTATATCTTTTGTTTATATATTATCAAGAGAGAGAGAGAGAGAGAGAGAGAGAGAGAGAGAGAACGTGTGTGTGTGTGTGTGTGCCACTTGGTGGGTGGTGATAGTAAGCGTGGGACTACGATAGTGTTTAGCTGTCACAGTTCCAAGAAGCCCCCCCCACCCCTCAGCCACGGGGATATCAGCCAACATAGTGATAGATGCCACCTAGGGTACTGGCCGAACAAAGACCACTTTACCTGGCATAGATTGGTGTGCGGGGGAGTGTACAGCCGTCTGTGTACCTGAGAATTTTTACGTTACCTGATAATTTGTCTCCACCCCCTCCCCAGCTTATTTCACCTGAAGATTTTCCCCTCCTCAGCTTAATTCACCTGAAGATTTATCCCCTCAGCTTAATTCGCCTGAAGATTAGCCAATCTCAGCTTAATTCACCAGCATATTAATCACCTTAACTCTATCCTAACCTAACCCAACCTAATCTAACCTAACCCATCAGGTAGCATCAGGACTCAGCAAAACTACAGGAAGATCTAAACAAATTTTTCGAATGGTCTGAAAAATGGCAGATGAAATTCAACGTGGACAAATGTAAAGTACTCAGTATAGGAGATGTAAACAGGGAAACCAGATACCAGATGAACAACGATGCCATAGAGAAATCCGACTGCGAGAGAGATTTAGGAGTAATGATAAGTAGGAACCTTAAGCCAAGTAAACAATGTGTTTTTGCCCGTAACAAGGCTAATAAAGTACTTGGGTTCATACAAAGGAGTGTTAGTTACAAGACTAGCGAGGTCATCCTAAAACTGTATCTTGCTCTTGTGAGACCACACCTGGATTACGCAGTTCAGTTCTGGTCACCGTATTACAGAATGGATATAGAATCCTTGGAAATAATTCAGAGGAGAATGACAAGACTAATCCCGGGCATTAGGAATCTTGAGTATAGAGACAGGTTAAAGCATCTTAATTTGCACTCCCTCGAGAGACGTAGAGCGAGGGGCGACCTGATAGAGGTGTATAAGTGGAAGGCAGGGCTAAACAAAGGGGACATTACAAAGGTACTCAAACTATCCAACCAGGAGCGAACTCGTAACCATGGTTTTAAATTAGACAAATTTAGATTTAGGCGGGAAATAGGTAAACACTGGTTTGGAAACAGAGTAGTGGATGAATGGAACAAGTTACCAAATATCATCATTAACTCGAATACGCTGGATAGCTTCAAACATAGGTTGGATGCTTATATGAGCAATAGGGGTTTGGTGTAAACGGGACTGCCCAGTATGGGCCAATAGGCCCGCTGCAGTTTCCTCCATTCTTATGTTCTTATGTTCTTATGAATTAAGCTGGGTTGACCAATTTTCTGGTGACCCTGAATTTTATTGTAAATACGGAAGAAGGAAGACGTGAAGAAAAACACCGATGGAGATGATAAACAGAAGAATAAGAAGAAACGAAAGAAGACATAGAGCAAAATTAAATAAATGAAGGAGGAAGACACTAGTAATAACTTATGTATACAAATGATGCAATTAGTTTACTGAAAACTTAAAAAAAGAGACATTTCCTGACAGCACCTACCCCCTCCTGACAGCACCTACCCCCTTCTGACAGTCTCCTGACAGTCCATACCCCCTCCTGACAGCACCTACCCCCTTCTGACACTCTCCTGACAGTCCATAGCCCCTCCTGACAGCACCACCCCCTTCTGACACTCTCCTGACAGCCCATACCCCCTGACAGCACCACCCCTTCTGACACTCTCCTGACAGCACCTAACCCTTCCTGACACTCTCCAGACAGTCCATACCCCCTCCTGACAGCACCTACCCCTTCTGACCTCTCCTGACAGTCCATACCCCTCCTGACAGCCCTTACCTCCTCCTGACAACACCTCCTCAGGTCCACCTGTGAGACAGATAAGTTCACCAATATATTTCGTATCTTCAAGACGTTACTGGTCATAAACAACATGTGTGGCGATAACCCTAAGATGTTCGCCTCCTCCTCCCCTCTTCCCCTCACCCTCCCCTCTTCCCCTCACCCCTCTTCCCCCCTCCTCCATCTTTTAACTCTTAGCCACTTCACCTCTGCCCACCCCTTCTCAACCCCCCTCCTCCTCGTCGTGGTGGTGGGGGGGGCTAATGGTGGAGGGGGTGGGGAAGCTGTGAGGAAGGTTGTGGTGGGGTTGGGAGGCTGTGTGAGTGGTGGTGGGGAAGCTGTGGTGGTGGTGGTGGGGAGGGTGGGGAGGCTGTGGTGGGGGTGGGGAAGCTGTGGGGAGGTTGTGGTGGGGGTGGGTAGGCTGTGGTTGGGGGAGGTTGTGGGTGGGGTAGGTGGCTGTGGTTGGGGTGGGGAGGGTGGTGGGGGTGGGGGCAACAGTGTGGGGCAGAGGAAGGTGATATGATGAGTCAAGTGCCAAGTTATCTAGGTGAGGCTCGTGGCACTATCCTCCCCCCTCCTGCCAACTATCCTCCTTCTCCCCTTCCCACCCTCCCCCTCCCTACCCACCACTACCCTCCCCGTCCCCTACAATACTACTCCTCCCTCCCCACTACCCTCCCCTTCCACTCCCCACTACTTTCACATTATCCTCCCCACTAAGATCCCTCCCCTCACCCCTCACAGTTCTCCCTATGCCCTGGGTATCTCTCAGTCCCTCACTATCTCCCATCATGTCTCCGTCACTCAGCCCACATGGTCACTCAGCCCACATGGTCACTCAGTCCACATGGTTACTCAGCCTTCATGGTAACTCACCCGCCATGCTCACTCACCCCATCGTCACTCAGCCCCCATCGTCACTCAGCCCCTTATGGTCACTCATGGTCACTCACCAGGTCATCACGGTGGCAGAGAGGAGTAATAAGCCTTTCACCATCACCAAAACAAGATAGACCCATTACCTAACACCACTCCCACCAACACCTGTCGTTAATTATTACCTCACCTGAGCACCTCACCTGGATAAAGAATAAACCAACTTAAAATTAATACTGTTAGTTAAAAGTCGGTGTCAATTAAACCTCGATATCATGAATTAAACCTCGATATCAACAATTAAACCTCGATATCAACAATTAAACCTCGATATCAACAATTAAACCTCGATATCATCAATTAAACCTCGATATCAACAATTAAACCTCGATATCAGCAATTAACCTTGGATCTATAGTATTAATTTGGTTTATGTCAATTCCTATCTGGTCCGTAATTGTATTTGCTTGTTTACAATAATGTTTTGTGTGTTGTTATTGTTTATGTCTCATTACATCGACATAAACATCTTAAGAACACGTAAACACATTCTAGCACACACATACACACACGTCCTAGGAAACATTCATATACATACACACGTAATAATACATATATGTATACCTACTACCACATAAATGAATACACAATACTCACAAATCATTTCTGTACTTGGCCATACGTTGAGAACACCTCCATATCAATAGTGGTAGTGGTGGTGGTAGTGGTGGTGGTGGTGGTAGTGGTGGTGGTAATGGTGGTAGTGGTGGTGGTGTGTTAAGAGTCATAGACCATTCCTCACCTGTCACCTGTAATGAAGTAGATCTGTTTTATTCATTTATTCGAATAGGATAACTTACAAGGCATCTTCTACCCTCCATTATCATCACCCGCCCACACCCCTCACACACACGCCCACACCCTTCAGACCCACCCACACCCCTTACACACCCATATCTGAGCCCCATTCCTTTCCCATTTCTCCATCCCCTCCTCCATTCTAACCCTTCCATCTTCCATTCCTTCATCTCCTCCTTTATTCACCTTCTCAAACTCCCTCTCATTTCAGACAACTTCCTTTCCCTTCATCTCCTCCTCCACCAATCAGACGAGGCAGATCTATACACCACAAGTTATAGTATATATTATAAAAAAAAATCTTTGTTATATACACAGTGAGATAAACGAGGCACGTATAGGTAGATATACGTGTGTCCTTTATGTACTTATATATGTACGTGTCCTTGTACTATATACCATACGTAGCAAGATGCCCGTGTCCTTGATTTATCTAAGTAGTTCAAATCAGAGCGAGATTATCAGGGCCAGAGCCAGCAGCGCCATGTTTAAAAGTCCAGCTGCCGTGTGTGTGTGTGTGTGTGTGTGTGTGTGTGTGTGTGTGTGTGTGTGTGTGAAAGATAAACCTTCAACAGCCAGACACGTGACGGGAGTAGGTTCATTATCTAACCTCCAATCATTAGGTTAGGTCAGGTCAGGTCAGGTCAGGTTAGGTTAGGTCTCTCTCCCTAAATCGTGGCCCCTGATTTCTCTCCTCCACGATAATGAGCCTCGTTATCTGCAGGTAAAATGCTTCTTCTCGCTAATCTATCATGTCAACAGGAAGTGTTGTTAAGTGTGGCGAGGTCTTGAGGGGCGAGGTCTTGAGGGCGAGGGTCTTCGAGGGCGAGGTCTTGAGGGAGCGAGGTCTTGAGGGGCAGGTCTTGAGGGGCGAGGTCTTGAGGAGCGAGGTCTTGAGGGCGAGGTCTTGAGGGCGAGGGTGAGGAGCGAGGTCTTGAGGGGCAGGTCTTGCGGGTCTTGAGGGCGGGGTCTTGAGGGGCGAGGTCTTGAGGGGCGAGGTGTGAGGGGCAGGTCTTGAGGGGCGAGGTCTTGAGGCGAGGTCTTGAGGGGCGAGGTGAGGCGAGGTGGGGGCGAGGGTCTTGAGGGGGCGCAGGTCTTGAAGGAGCGAGGTCTTGAGGCGAGGTCTTGAGGGCAGGTCGAGGTCTTGAGGGGCGAGGTCTTGAGGGCGAGTCTTGAGGGGCGAGGTCTTGAGGGCGAGGTTTTGAGGGCAGGTCTTGAGGGCGAGGTCTTGCGTGGCGAGGTCTTGAGGGGCGAGGTGAGGAGCGAGGTCTAGAGGGAGAGGTCTTGAGTGGCGAGGTCTTGAGGGCGAGGTCTTGAGGGGCGAGGTCTTGAGGGGCGAGGTCTTGAGGGGCGAGGTCTTGAGGGGCGAGGTCTTGAGGGAGCGAGGTCTTGAGGGAGCGAACTCCTTCAAGATAATGCCAAGAAAATTCTGATCTTAAAAGGTCATGGAGGTTATAGCCAAGATGATAATGTTACAAAAATTATAATGGTTAATGTTACAAAAATTATAATGGTTAATGTTACAAAAATTATAATGGTTAATATATGTTATAACCAAACGGGTAATGTTTAATGGACGATTATAACCGAAATGTTTAAAGTTAGAACCAAATATTACAATGGCTAATGTTTAATGAATAATAAAACCAACAAATCTATATTATAACCAAAATAAAAATAGTTCATGTATAACCAAATTGACAACGTGTAGCAAATAATGTAACTAAAGAATTTAATGTTATAACCAAAATACCAAAATTAATTGTTTTTTCTGTCAGTGTCGGATTGATTTAAATAACAATAAATATAAGTGTATCAACATTATTATCAAGGGGGGGGGGGCAGTGTATCACAGAGGCTACGGTAAGGAGGGGTTAGGTTAGGTTGGTGTTAGGTTGGTGTTAGGTTAGGTTGGTGTTAGGTTGGTGTTAGGTTGGTGTTAGGCTGGTGTTAGGTTAGGTTAGGTAAACAATAGAGAAGGGAAGGAATGGGGAATGAAGCTGAGGAAAGGGTGGGAAGGGGAGGAGGAAGAAAAAGAGGGAGGGGTGGAATGGAGTGGAGACTTAGGGAAGAGGAGGAAGGGAAGGAGAAGAAGAGGATGGGGAAGGAGAGAGAAGAGGCGAGGGGAAAGGAAGAGGGAGGAGAGGGAGAAAGGGGAGGGGGAGGGGAGGGTAGAACAGGACCGTCGGGAACAATTTAAGTTATCATGACGCAGGTACAGTGCTGTGTTATGACGCAGGAACAGTACTGTGTTATGACGCAGGTACAGTACTGTGTTATCAAGACTCAGGTACAATAGTGTGGTATGACGCAGGTACAGTACTGTACGTGTGTTTATGACGCAGGTACAGTACTGTGTTATGACGCAGGAACAGTAGTGTGTGCTATGACGCAGGTACAGTAGTGTGTTATGACGCAGGTACAGTACTGTGTTATGACGCAGGAACAGTAGTGTGCTATGACGCAGGTACAGTAGTGTGTTATGACGCAGGTACAGTACTGTTTTATCATGACGCAGGTACAATAGTGTGGTATGACGCAGGTACAGTACTGTGTTATGACGCAGGAACAGTACTGTGTTATGACGCAGGTACAGTACTGTGTTATCATGACTCAGGTACAATAGTGTGGTATGACGCAGGTACAGTACTGTGTTATGCGCAGGCACAGTAGTGTATGACGCAGGTACAGTACTGTGTTATGACGCAGGAACAGTAGTGTGCTATGACGCAGGTACAGTACTGTGTTATGACGGTACAGTACTGTGTTATCATGACTCAGGTACAATAGTGTGGTATGACGCAGGTACAGTACTGTGTTATCATGACGCAGGTACAGTACTGTGTTATCATGACGCAGGTACAGTACTGTGTTATCATGACTCATCAACAATGTGTGGTATGACGCAGTACAGTACTGTGTTATCATGACGCAGGTACAGTACTGTGTTATCATGACTCAGGTACAATAGTGTGGTATGACGCAGGTACAGTACTGTGTTTTGACGCAGGTACAGTACTGTGTTTTGACGCAGGCAGTGCTGTGTTATGACGCAGGAACAGTAGTGTGTTATGACGCAGGTACAGTACTGTGTTATGACGCAGAACAGTAGTGTGTTATGACGCAGGTACAGTACTGCGTTATGACGCAGGAACAGTAGTGTGTTATGACGCAGGTACAGTACTGTGTTTTGACGCAGGTACAGTGCTGTGTTATGACGCAGGAACAGTGCTGTGTTATGACGCAGGAACAGTAGTGTGTTATGACGCAGGTACAGTACTGTGTTATGACGCAGGTACAGTACTGTGTTATCATGACGCAGGTACAGTACTGTGTTATCAGGCAGGTACAGTACTGTGTTATGACGCAGGAACAGTAGTGTGTTATGACGCAGGAACAGTGCTGTGTTATGACGCAGGTACAGTACTGTGTTATCATGACGCAGGTACAGTACTGTGTTATGACGCAGGAACAGTACTGTTATGACGCAGGAACATAGTGTGTTATGACGCAGGTACAGTACTGTGTTATGACGCAGGTACAGTACTGTGTTATCATGACGCAGTACTAATCATGACGCAGGTACCTGTGTTATCATGACGCAGGTACAGTACTGTGTCATGACGCAGGTACAGTACTGTACATGTACGCATGTGTTATCATGACGCAGGTACAGTGTGTGTTATGACGCAGGTACTGTGTTATCATGACGCACAGGTGTGTTACAGTACTGTGTTATCATGACGCAGGTACAGTACTGTTTATGACGCAGGTACAGTACTGTGTTATGACGCAGGTACAGTGTGTGTTATCATGACGCAGGTACATACTGTGTTATCATGACGCAGGTACGGTATGTGTTATGACGCAGGTACAGTACTGTGTTATGGCGCAGGTACAGTACTGTGTTATGACGCAGGTACAGTACTGTGTTATGACGCAGGTACAGTACTGTGTTATCATGACGCAGGTACAGTACTGTGTCATGACGCAGGCAGTACTGTGTTATCATGACGCGTGCAGTACTGTGTTATCATGCGCAGGTACAGTACTGTGTCATGACGCAGTGTACTGTGTTATCGTGTGTTATCTGTTGTCTCCTCAGCTTGTGCCTCTTGTTATCACCAGATGTTGTTAACTTAATCTTGAGGCATTACGTCCCCGTGGCGTACTGTGACCTGTGGCACTGTGACCCCTGTGGCACTCTGGCGTCCACTGTGACTCCTGACCTGTCTCCCGCACGGCACTCTGGCAACCTGTGGCACTTTAACTGTCCCATGGCACTGTGACCTCCCGTGGCACTGTGACCTCCTGTGGCTATGTGACCTCCCATGTGGCACCCATGGCCCTGACCTCACCGTGACCTCCCGTGGCACTGTGACCTCCCGTGGCACTGTGACCTCCCGTGACCTCCTGTGCACTGTGACCTCCTGTGGCACTGCACTGACCTCCGTGGCGCGCCCGCCACTGTGACCTCCTGTGGCACTGTGACCTCCCGTGGCACTGTGACCTCCCGTGGCACTGGATCTCCCATGGCTACCATGTGATCTACCATGGCACTGTGACCTCCCGTGGCACTGTGATCTACCATGCACTGCCTGTACACTGTGACCTCCCGTGGCACTGTGACCTCCGTGGCGCTGTGATCTCTCTTGATCTTGATCTACCGGCACTGTGACCTCCCGTGCACTGTGATCTACTACTGCCACCTCCCCGTGGCTCTGTGATCTGCGACCTCCGTGGCACTGTGACCTCCCGTGGCACTGTGATCTCCGTGGCACTGTGACCTCCCGTGGCACCTCTCCCGTGGCACTGTGATCTACCGTGGCACTGTGACCTCCGTGGCACTGTGATCTACCGTGGCACTGTGACCTCCCGTGGCACTGTGATCTACCGTGGCACTGTGACCTGACTGTGATCTACCGTGGCCTCCCGTGGCCTCCCATGGCTTTCTCGTGACTCCTGGTCTACTGCACTGTGACCTCCCGTGGCACTATGATCTACCGTGGCACTGTGGCCTCCCTGGCACTGTGATCTCCCTTGGCACTGTGATCTCCGTGGCACTGTGACATCCTGCTATGGCAGCACTGTGACCTCGTGGCACTGATGACTTACTGTACTGTGGCACTGTGATCTACCGTGGCACCAGGACCTCCCGTGGCACTGTGACCTCCCGTGGCACTGTGACCTCCCGTGGCGCTGTGACCTCCCGTGGCACTGTGACCTCCCGTGGCGCTGTGACCTCCCGTGGCACTGTGACCTCCCGTGGCACTGTGATCTACCGTGGTACCATGGCACTGTCATTAAGAGATCGGGAAACTAATCCGGAATCAACACAGTACTGAGTTAATTAAGCAGGATTAAAATACAACCTTGAGATCACCTGAAGATTAACTACCTTAACGCTAACCTAACCTAACGCTAACCTAACTTAACCTAACGCTAACTTAACCTAACCTAATTTTATTATAACTTTATACGTGAAGCAAACTTGTCACCAGTCCCCTCCCCCATCTTCCAAATGACCTGGTTTACAAGGTTGACCTTTCTCCTCCCACCTCATAGTCTACCACGTGACCTTTTGAGACACGATGACCTGCCCTACATAGTTCAAGTGACCTGATGTAGGGTGGTCACATGCACCCCTCAGCCTTCATGCTCCCCCTCCTCCCTCCTCCATGCTCCCCTCCTCCCTCCTCCATGCTCCCCTCCTTCATACCCCCTTGCCCCTCCATGCCCTCCCCCCTCTATGCCCTCTTAATACTTATCGTCCACTTGACATACTCACTATTTTAACACTACAGTGCTGACGGAGAGAAAATGCACCTATCAGTCAGTTCAGTCAGTTCAGTTGCTCTCTCTCTCTCTCTCTCTCTCTCTCTCTCTCTCTCTCTCTCTCTCTCTCTCTCTCTCTCTCTCTCGTAACCAGCTTCCTTGTCAGCTCTCCTCTCCTCTTCTCTTCTCTTCTCACCTGTTGTATTACTAATGAGTATTCCTTCATCCTTTTCCTCTTCCTTTATCATTTCCACCTCCTCCCCACACACTACTCTCTCACCACCACAAGACTAAAACAGTTAACCAATCTCTTATCTTACCTGGTAGGGAGGAGCGTCACCCCAAACACCTTTACTCTGATAAAAACCACATTTCTTAGGGATTTACCAAAGGGATTTTAGGGAGATTAACGAGCCCAGTAAACAGTCGTAAAGTATCTTAGGTGTGAGGGATTTAGCTGGGATTTGGCTGGGATTTAGCTGTCTTATCAATCCCATCATTTTACTTGAGGGATTTCCTTCTCCTAAGTAAGTTTTAGAGAGCTTTCATACCGATGGTCGAGTATCGTGTATAATATATCAAGAGGTTGACCTTTAAGGACCATCGTGGATTAGCATTGTGTTCATTCACGTGTCATCAACCCCCCCCCCCACACCTGTAGCTTATAAGAATAGTAACTTGGTTTGATAAATAAAAACAACAATAAAAGTATACAACAGGTAGGGTATCTTTCAGTACACACACACACACACACACACACACACACACACACACACACCAAACATTCACACATAACCAAATCCACACCAACACCCAGTATACATAACATCCACACCAGCATACATAACATCCACACTCAGCATACATACATCCACACCACCATACATCCACCAGTATACATAGACCCACACCAGCATACATAGACCCACACTCAGTATACATAGACCCACACTCAGTATACATAGACCCACACTCAGTATACATAGACCCACACTCAGTATACATAGACCCACACTCAGTATACATAGACCCACACTCACTATACATACATCCACACTCAGTATACATAGACCCACACTCAGTATACATAGACCCACACTCAGTATACATACATCCACACTCAGTATACATAGACCCACACTCAGTATACATACATCCACACTCAGTATACACACCACTCACCATACACACATCCACACCTAGTATACATAGACCCACACTCAGTACATAGACCCAGACCATAGCATACATATACACATCCACACTCAGTATACATAGACACACCCAGCATACATACATCCACACTCAGTATACATACACCCACACTCAGTATACATACATCCACACTCAGTATACATACATCCACACTCAGTATACATACACCCACACTCAGTATACATACATCCACACTCAGTATGCATACACCCACACTCAGTATACATACACCCACACTCAGTATACTTGCAGTATCTGGTAGTATACATACACTCAGTACACATGCAGTAACTGATAGTATACACACACTCAGTATACATGCAGTAACTGGTAGTACACACACTCAGTATACATGCAGTAACTGGTAGTATACACACACTCAGTATACATGCAGTAACTGGTAGTATACACACACTCAGTATACATGCAGTAACTGGTAGTACACACACTCAGTATACATGCAGTAACTGGTAGTACACACACTCAGTATACATGCAGTAACTGGTAGTATACATGCAGTAACTGGGAGTATACACACACTCAGTATACATGCAGTAACTGGTAGTACACACACTCAGTATACATGCAGTAACTGGTAGTACACACACTCAGTATACATGCAGTAACTGGTAGTATACATGCAGTAACTGGTAGTATACACACACTAAGTATACATGCAGTAACTGGTAGTATACACACACTAAGTATATGCAGTAACTGGTAAATCCCTGGCAACTCTCTCAGACAGACGATGAATGGATCCCGAGGCAAGAAGATTGAACCAAGAGAAAGACGATTGAATGATTGCCTGAATAGATGGAGGGTGAGGGGGTGAGGGTGGGGGTGAGGGTGGGGGGTGAGGGTGGGGGGGGGTGAGGGGTGAGGGGGGGGGGAGGGTGAGGTGAGGGGGTGGGTGGGGGGAGGGTGGGGGTGGAGGGTGGGGGGTGAGGAGGTGAGGGGGTGAGGGGTGGGTGAGGGGTGAGGGTGGAGGGTGAGGGTGAGGGGGTGAGGGGGTGGGGGTGAGGGTGGAGGTGAAGGGAGAGAATAAGGGTAAGGGGAGCTTCAATACTGATACGCCCACACTGACCTGACCTGACCTAACCACTGGCTACCAACACCTCACCTTGTATTCTGTTCACATATCAACTAACTAAAAATATATTAAAATAAAAATAAATAACCATAAACAATAAATAACAACTACAACTGAATATCAAGCTAGAATAAATAGGTAAATTATAAACATCAACAGGAATAAAATATGTAAATAAAATACCCCCTAAAAATACTGTGACGAAATGATGTCAACAAGAACGATGATAAAACTGGTTATATAATTCTCAGACACGAGGACTTGAACCATCCACTATTGTCATCAACAACAGCTTGGACGAGATCGACACTACATGATACAACTCACGTACGCAACACACACACACACACACACTAACTAAGTAAGACTGTGGAGGGGTGAAGGTTGGGGGGAAGGGGGGGGTGAAGGTGGGGGGAAGGTGACGGAAGACCATGAATATAAATGTGGGATAATGTATTTTTTTTTACTCTGTGACCTCAATGCTACTACTACGACTACTACTACTACTACGACTACTACTACGACTACTACTACTACCACGCCATTCTTAATTAACAGATCTACACACGCATATACACCCATGTACCCACCCACCCACCCACCCACGCACATATATGCATACCACTTTATTCCACCCACACTCTCATGGCCACCCTTATCACCACCCACACCCACATCGCCACCCTCACCCACTCTCTCACCACCACCACTCCCTCACCACCAACACCCACACCGTCAGCCAAACCAAAGCCCACGTTATCCCCCCCCCCATTCCCCCACCACCCACTCAGCCAGCCATCATCTTTTCACACGTGTCATGTTGCAAATCATGTGCAGGGAGGCACCGTGGCGGCGGCCCCAAGCTGCGCACCCTGAATGGACCTTTTACACTCCAATTTGGGTCCCTCACAATGGCTGGTCGGCGCACTCGCAAATGGTTTTCTTTGAGGTGAGGACCAACCTTGGTTTTTTTTTTACACGGTGTCTTGGCCCGGCTTTTGAACCGTAGGATCCCGGTCATCTTATGTAAGAGACTCGAGACTGGCAGCTCTTGCCTTACAAGGACGTGAGCGGCGTTCATTGTAGCAATAAGTGACAGGGGGGGTCCTGGTGTCATTGTAGCTCGTCAGGAGGGGAAGGAGGGGGGTGAGGGAGGGGAGAGGGTGGGGTGATCGCCAGCAATCCCCACCATGTTATTCACGGCCACCACCCTCTGCCTCTGCTGTCACCCCTGCCCTGCCCTGCCTCCTGGTGCCCCGCTCCTGCCTCTGCTCCCCTGCCCTGCCTCTTTGCCCTGCCCTTGCCTCAGCCCTGCCTTCATACCAAGTTGGCATTAGTAATGTAAGGTTCTTGTCCAGTACCACCACTATTACTACCACTATCACACAACCACTAGCGCCAACCACCATCTACCACCACTACCCACCACCATCACCACTGAATGATTATCACCATCAACCAAACCACACACCACCACCACTACCACCACCACCTGTTACCACCAGGTCACCACTCACTCACCACCATCTGCACCACCACCACCACCACCACCTGCATCACTACCTACTCACCACCACCTGCGCCACTACCCATCACCACCATACCACACCATCTGCACAACCCACACACCACCTGCGCCACTACCCATCACCACCACTCCACCACCATCTGCGTCCACCACCACCACCACCCAGCCACTACCACCACCATCTGCGCCACTGCCTCATCACCTCACGCCCACCACCACCTGCATCACTACCCACCACCACCACCACCACCACCTGCACCACTACTCCACACAACTACCACCACCACCACCCACTACCACCACCATCATTCACCACCTGCACCACTACCACCACCACCTGCACCATCACCACTACCACCACCAGCCACCACCACCTGCACCCACTACCACCACCACTGCACCACTACCACCACCACCACCTGCACCACTACCACCACCACCTGCACCACTACCACCACCACCTGCAATTCACCTGCACTACACTACCACCACTACCACCACCACCTGCACCACTACCACCTGCACCACTACCACCACCTGCACCACTACCACCACCACTCCCATTACACTTTCCATCCAAATAAAACATCACAGGTGCACTCATCGTCTCTCCTCCCCCTGTGAGTGTGTGTTGAGTCCCTCTTAAGTGTGTGTATGTGTGTTCCTCAAGTGAGTGATGAGTGCCTTCCACACCACATGAGCAGGAGGCCAAGATAGGAATATATTTCAACAAGAGATATGACCAAAATATAAACCCTCTATCTAACGGACTTTATGGAGAAGAAAGTCCGCTATATCGAGAGTCCGTTAAATATGAAACCCCCATCTAACGAACTATATAGAAGAAAGTCCGCTATATCGAGAGTCCGTTAAATATGAAACCCCCATCTAACGAACTATATAGAAGAAAGTCCGCTATATCGAGAGTCCGTTAAATATGAAACCCCCATCTAACGAACTATATAGAAGAAAGTCCGCTATATCGAGAGTCCGTTAAATATGAGTCCCCCATCTAACGGATTATATACAGAGAGAAGTTCGTTATATGGAGGTTTGACTATATTATAAAACCACCAGATTAATGATTTATATTAAAACAAAAACCGATAAATAAAGAAAATCCATAAAATAAATAAATAAACATAAGTAAATAAACAAATAAATAAACAAATAAACAAATAAATAAATAAACAAATAAATAAACAAATAAATAAATAAACAAATAAATAAATAAACAAATAAATAAATAAATAAAATCCATTAAATAAATAAATAAATCTAAAAAAATTGAATAAATGAAGAAATGAGCAAAAACACGATCAAAAAAATAATCAAGAACATGTATTAAATTTTTTTGTATATATTAATTATTTTTTGCATTTTATTGTTATTTGTTTAAGCAACCACCCACC